GAAAAGAAAAGAAAAGAAAAGAAAAGAAAAGAAAAGAAAAGAAAAGAAAAGAAAAGAAAAGAAAAGAAAAGAAAAGGAAAAGGATAATAAATTAAAAAGAGATAACTCACTACCTGCCCTGGAAGGAAAGGTTGTACAAAAAGGCAAGAAAGATTTGCCTGGGAATTCAACAAGGTAGAAGTATGTCTAGTTCAACTTTTACGTCTTCCTTTAAGTGCGTGCATAGTGGGGGGGCAGGGGGGACCCCTTTCAATTCTTTTTTTTTTTTCATGTGTTATAGATGACTTTTAAGTTAATTCCAAATTCAATTTGGTGTTTAGGGAAATAATTATTTATTCCTGAGACAAAGGATTATTATTTCATAAGTTTAGCAAAATGATTTGCTTTCTTTTCATTTAAAGAACTATAGCTAAAATCATATCCTAATGAAATCCTCATAATTCAAATAAGTTACCAGTTATAGAGAAGTATTCCTAACTCATAAATATGATGATGTCCCAGTTAATGATTTCACACTGATCTTACAAATTTTTAAAATGTAAGTTGGGCTTTTTTTCAGTAAGATATTAAAAACCTCTTCAAATTAGATCCATGACACCTTTTGCTCTGTATTTTTTCAATGTATCTCAACTCAAAGACAACAAACAGTGCTTAGTTTCACAGAATGAGTTTTACAAACAAAGTTACACACTTTTTCTTCAGTCTTACTGTAAGCTTCAGTCTTACTTATGCAATGGATGCAGTATTATTGCATGGCTTCTCCCATTGAGCCAAACTGTCACTGAGCAACTTGTTTGCATAATAGTGCTAACCAACAAGATAACATGGCTTTCTTCAGAAAAATCCCCTGTGTACAGGTAAAACAAAAAACAAAAACATACAGCACGTAAGTGTCTGCTGGTGATCTGCTCCCTCATTAAAGCAACACTTATTCAGTCACCTCTGACACAATACTACAATTATAAAAGTAGTTAGCAACATTATTTATATTCTCAAAGCACTTCTCTACCATTCACCCTAACCAAATACCGTTTACCATTACTTTACAATGAAGAGGGAGTCTTTGTTTCTTATTGTGGTCACACACAGATAAAATGTTACAATCAAGCTTTAGCATCTAAATATATAGGAAGAAAAGCAAAATATGAATACACTGATATTTGATTTAAAAATGACTTCAATTCTAAATTCTGGTGAGTAAAAAAGAAAGAATAAACTAAAAAGTAAGAATGAAGAAAAAAGGGTGAAAAAAGAAAGATTAAAAGAGAAACAGGAAAGGGCTAAAGAAAAAAACAATCTAACTAGCTTTACCTACTCTTCATTTAAGTTAGGCCATTGTACTATAATTTACTCTCCATGTTGAATTATCTGATTAATCTCTGTTCAGAGTCCTTCATCCTTACACTTTGGTTTTCCTAAGTAATTTCAGTACAACAACAATACAGCTTCCTTAAGCTATAGCAGGAAACAAAAACAGTATTTTCTCTAGTGTTTCATACTCAAAGGTACATTTTCTTTCCAGAAAATCTTCTTAATTATAAAACTAATAAAGCAAAATCCAGTTCATAATTTTCCAATTCTACCTAATTCTTCTGCTTTCAGTAGAAGTGTATCATGAAGTAAAACTAAAACACTTAGACAAAATAACCAGAGTTAAGAAAAATATTAAAAGGAGAAGACATTATAGTATTTGCATATACATAAAGGTTAGTCTTAAAAAAAGAACATAAATATGAAAAAAACCACTATCCTTCCTTAATATAAGCAGGAAATTGAAAATGCTGTTGCAACTGCCCTCAATTCTCCTCATATGAAATTCTCCTGCCTTCATACATATATGAAACCATTCTTCATCCTCTTTTAATATTGTTATTTAAATAGTACAGTGTCAAAAACTGAAATAATTTTCCTCAAAAATTTTTTTTTTCTGTAAGTAGCTTTGTGACTCATAGTTACTTTAAAAGATGGAATCTCCCAGAGAGTTGATACTTTACAGACTGATTTTATAAAGGATATATAGCATAAGACACCTGGAGTCCAATTCCTTGATGTCTGTTCTATTGAATTATAATTCAAACACTTTTTTTAGGTGTTAGGACATTAAAATTACAGTAGTATCAACTATAATTGACACACAAGTCACGTTTATTCCTACCTGAGCACTCCTTCTACTTGGTCTTTGGTGTAGCCTTTTCCACTCTCCCCGCTCCCAGATGAGGGGTCCTTTGTGCAGTTAGGCTTGCTTTGATCACCACTACCTGACGATTTTCGGCAATGAGGGCTGCTTCCAGCAGTGCTTCCATTTTTCATAATGATTTCCAATAGTGCTGTAAAAAGATAACAGAAAGCATACTCTGCCTGTTTACATCAAGGTACATAAACATGATCTTGAGAAGAAAGTTATAAAACTGACAAATTAAGAACTGTGTATTCCAAAAAGATGCACCATAGAGTCTATTTAAATAGTAAGCATTCCCTTATGTACTTAACCTATTTACAGACCACTAATCACCACTTGCAAGTAGAATATTAAGATATTCAATGTCAATAACTCAACATTACTATCATCCAATTACTTATGACATACTTTTATTTGTCATATTACGGTGAAATGCAGAATGCCATAGAAAAAGATAGTGGGTCAACAAATGGTGCTGGGACAACTGGATAACCATATGCAAACAATGAATTTGGACCTCTTCTTCACATCATACACAAAAATTAGCTCAAGATAGATCACATATCTAAATGTAAGAACTAACACTATAAAACTCTTAGCAGTAAATACAGGAGTAAATATTTATGACCTTAATTTAGGCAAAAATTCTTAGATATGATAAAAAAAAGTGGCAAAAGAAAAAAACAGAGAAGTGGACCTCATCAAAATTAAAAACCTTCACCCTTCAAAGAAAATCAATGAAGTAAAAAGACAATCCCCAGAATGGGAAAAAATATTTATAAAATCATGTATATATCTGAAAGAGACATATATCCATACTATATAAAGAAATCTTACAATTCAATAATAAAAGGACCAAAAACTCAACTTTAAAAAATTGGGCAAAGGATCTAAATAGATATTCTCCAAAATAGATACACAAGCGACCAATAAGTACATGAAAAGTTGCCTAACAACAATAGCCATCAGGCAAATGAAACCATAACTACAATGAGATATCACTTTACACCCACTAGGATACTATAATCAGCAAGATGAACAATTACAAGTGTTGGATAGGATGTGGAAAAACTGTAACTCTCATACATTGCTGGTGGTAGTGTAAAATAGTGTGCCTACTTTGAAAAATCATCTGGTAGTTCTTTAAAAGATTAAACATACAGTTACCATTTGACCCAACAATCCTATCCCTGGGTATAAACCCAAGAGAAACAAAAACATACATGTATATGAAAAATGGTTCACAAATGTTCATAACAATATTGTTCATAATAGAACAAAGTGGAAAAAATCGGAATGCCCATCAAATGATGAATAAATATGTCCATACAGTGGAATGTTTTTTGACAATTTAAAAAAATGAAGTACTGATATACATTACAACATAGATGAACCCTAAAAACATGCTAAGTAAAAAGAGTCAGTCACAAAAGACCACGTATTATATGATTCCATTTATACAAAATGTATAGAATAAGTAAATCTACAGAGACAGAATGATCAGATGTTGCCAAAGGCTAGTGGGGAGGGAAGAATGAAATTGGGGGAAAATGAGGAGTGATTCCTAGTGAGTATAAGGTTTCTTTCTGTAATGTTCTAAAATTAATTGTTGTAATGGTTATACAAACAATGTGAACCCACTGAATGGTACATTTTAAATGAATGAATTGTACGGTATATGAATTTTATCTCAATAAAGCTGTTATACCTATGTATTTTAAAAGATCCAGCAGTGTCATTGGCCAACTTGCAAACATACAGATATTTATTCTTTATAACTCTCTACCATTTCCTAGTTAATGCATTCAAGAGGTCATCTAAGACATAAGAAATTTGGTTTTTATAACAATCTAGTTGTAGATAATACAGAAAGGCTCTTAATTAGACAGCAATCTATTAGTTATTAAAAAGATAAGCATAACATAAAATTTTTAACTACAGTGTGGCTCACATTGAATGCAATCATGTTAATGTTGAGAGCAGAAGCTAGCATAGTCTAGGGTGTAGTGGTTCACCACTTTTTAACATGAAAAATTGTGTGGAAATTCTAGGAAGACAGCAGCTTAAATTTTAAATCTCTTCAAATTGTCTCAGAAAATCAGAGCAATTAGATAGCAAAATAAAAACTCATGTAATAAGTCTCCAAATACAAGAAGGTAGGGACAAACCATCAATAGTTACAAGATCTATGTAGGTATTATCATCTGTGTGGGAAGAAGCAGGGAACAGTAACAGGGCATTTTACCAGCCCACAGAACAAAAGAACTCCAAAATAGCCAACAGGGACTCTACAAAGCTCAGCAGGCAAAACTGAGAAAGGTGAGGGTTTTGGTCACTACAATAGCATGAGAGTGAAATGGTCCACAATAAACTATTAGGGGCATAGACTACCCCAGTCACTACAATTCTCAAAACTAATCAGTCAGAGCTCTCTTGCAGAACAAAGCCCAAAACTAGGAGAAACTGCTGGGAACAGGATCCAGTCTGAAGAGGATATGGCAATAGAAAAAAAAAAAAAAAAAAAAAGAAAGAGAAACTCCAGATAAAGTAGGGAAGGAGAAAAGAGTGAGGAAATCTTATATATAGCAAGGTGACATATTTTCAAACATTACACAGAAACTGGAGAAGATCTCCATGTATTTAGAAAGGCTAACTTCACATAATAATAAGTAAAAAAAAAATGATAGAAGTGAAAGCTGATACAAAGTTATATAAGAAAAAAGAGACTAGGAATAAACCTCTGAACACAATGAAAGCACATTACAAAGACCTGTCGACAAAACAGGAAAACACTATAACCTACTATTTCAAGACAAACTGAAAAGACTTTTAAAAATTACACACAATACAAAAGAGCAACATAAATTAGAATTAAAACAACCCCCAAAATTATCTATCTAGAGCTCAGGTGATAAAACTAAGGGGAAAAAATAAAAGGGAAAACCAATTCAAAAAAGAAGACTAAACTACAAGAAACAAAGACTTAATAAACACAACAGATAACACTGTATAAATGAAAGAGAATATAAAAAGGGAAAAATTTTAATTAAAACATGAAAAAGATAAATTAGAAAGAAAAAGGCAAATACTGAAGATAGCTAAAGAAGATCCAACATACATATGAGTCTTAAAGAAGATAAATAAGGGAAATAAAACCAATATAACAACAATTGGAGAAAACTTTTCTGATATAAAATCAGAAACTGTATAATGAAAGGGCAAGTCACACACCTAAGAATACTGACCCACAAAAATCAACATTCGGCAACCATCAGAAATTTATTCTGAAAAGAATCACCAACAAATGCTAAAAGGAGTTGTTAGAAGTTTGTTGTGGAAAAAGACATTAACAGTTTTGAAGTATTTTCCCCCAAAATATTTATTAACTACAAAAGGGAAAAAAAGTAAGTTTAGAGTGGAGAAACCTGTTAATCACCAAATTCACCAACTGAACAAAGTTAACCACGTCAGTAAGGACCAAATCAACATAATGTGTCTCCTGATATTACACTAAGAACACAACATCACATCTACAGTATGCTTGCCAAAAATTCATATGAGGAAATGTCAGCCAAACCCAAATTAAGGGAAATTCTATAAAATAGCTGGTCTGTACTCATCAAAAGTGCCAAGATCAAGAAAGAAAAAAGATGATACCTAGAGAACAAAACATGCCAAATATAATGCCACACACATCCTTTTTGCTATCAGAAACATAATTGGGGGAACTGGCAGAACTTGAATGAGGTACATGAATTAATTTCATAAATTTGATGCTTATGCAGTGGTTATTCAAGGGTGTTTTTGTCTTTAAAAACATACGTTGAATTATTTAGGGGTAACAGAACATGATGTCTATATCTCACTTGGTTCAGGAAAAAAACATAGTTAAGAACAAATTGTGTGTGTATGTTGGGGAGAGGGGACATAGCAGGGAGAGAGAGGTAGGGCATAATAAAGCAAATGCAGTAAAATTTTATCAAATAGGAAGCCTGAGTGATATGTACATGGGACGTTTATACTATTTTTGTGACTTCTCTGTAAATTTGAAAGTATTTCAAAATTTTGAAAAAGCTAAAATAGGGAGGGAAATGGAGAGAGCATATGCAAAGAAAATTTAACTGTTTTCAGTAATTTTATTAGTGGGTAGTACTGGTAATATTACACTGAAGCTATTATGCATAAGATGCGGCATAAAGCAAATAAATAATCAAGACGTTCTATCATTTGCCATGGCCTTGAAAACCAAGATTACTATTGTGGAAGGAAAAAGAAATATAAGCTAGAAAAGTTTAAACACCCCAAAGTGCTTACCTTGAACTAGACTTCCAGGATAAGCTTATAAGATAGTTTTTAGCTTAAAAAAAAAAATCCTGTAGTCTGTACACTGAAAAGCCTCAGAAACAATGAACAATCTTAGTCACAGAATCCCTGGTACCAGATGGTGATACTGAAACACCATTTTCCATTAAAAGAAACCAGGGCTTATCGGAAACATGGCTGACTCCAGGTCTAGCACAGGGTATGTACAAGAAGAACCTGAAACTTTCTGTCATACCGAAGAGCAAGGTAACTATTAAAGACCACGGAGAATGTGCCTATAGGACTCAGGGGCGAAACTAAAGGGGGTTCCCACTGGCCAAAAATCTAAAAAATAATATTCTGTATCCTCTTTCATTCTCAGCACAATCTCTCAGTGTTTTTCTAGACATCTTCAATGCTAATAGCTAGATGCTAAAGCAAGATCATACACAGAGTTGTTTTAGATTTTCAACAATTATGATAGTGAAAATCCTTCTACAATTTCATGCATAAAGGCTCTGCTTAACAATGGCTATGTGTACACATTCACTCATACCAAACACTCTGTGACTCCAAAGAGTGAAAATTTGGACAAGTTCCATTACCCCGGGACTCGATATCCGGTTGTCATCTTAATAATGGAATCAGCAAGGTTTTCTGTATTAACAATCATTGGAACCAATGCCTGAGAAGGTAATGTGATTCAGTTCAAGTACTGCCAGAATTTAGAACACATTGGCTTTTTCTGATTTATTAAATGTCTTGGCTATCATATGAGATCTCATTGACAATAATGTGCAGTATTACAAACATTGGTTGGGCAGATACAGTACTTATAAACCAGAT